AATATGAGCTTTCGTATCAAAAAAGATTGGGAAAGCGGAACCGTCCTCATCCATGATTCCTCATCAGATAGGATAACTTTTAGCTTATAAGATGCAAGATAATAATATACACCAAGGTTCATTTAATTAGACTTTTAGAACCAAGGTACCATTTTTCAGAGCATTACATCATGATTCATGATTCAATGAATATCACCAACTTGCGGCAAGGGTTATTTCTTCGCTGAATGATCATCCTAACCAATTATATATAGCTAGTTGACAAGCTAAATTAAACCGACATTATTTCTACCAACTTTATGGGTCAAAAGGTTATCTCTATTATTATATATACGTTCTCAATGTACTATAATATTTCATAAAGTTAATTTGAAAATTTGGCACATGTATTATCACTTATCTTTTGGAAGCTCTATAGCCTTAGGTATATAGTAGAATTATTCATCAAAGAGGAAGATAAGTATCAAGAACCACCCTGTTCATTCGTCATTAAACCATTTAAAGAATAATTCTACCTTTTTTCTAATCAATCACTCATTTATTTTTTCAGTTAAAAATTAAAAAAAAAAAAAGTCCGAAAAGCACCCAACTACAATTGACAAAAGAGAGATGGATTAAACCATGTTACATATATTGATATGCTATTCTTAGCGAAGAAAACCAATTTATGAAAGATAGTATTTATCGACGACTTCAAAATACACCTAAACAAACTAAACGTGTAAGATGAAGCCATACATCGTCCAAAACGTATTAAGAAATCTCCAAACTGTTACAGTCCTTGTAATGCGAGGATGGCATTCACATATCCTCCCCTTGAGTAGCTATACTCTCATGTAACCTAATAAATTTTAGGGTTGTAAATTTGGAAGAACACTATAAATTAAATTTTTGTCAAATAGAATGTTATACCCGGGTGCCCTTTTTCTCTTTTTTTTTTTTTTTGGGGGGGTTGGGAATGGTGATGTTATCATCTCAACCGCAATTCAATCTTTCATGAAAATCCCACGTATAAAGATATATATACCACAGAGTAAAAAGATATATATCACTTGTGTGAGGAAATTACCAAAGTTGGGATAAGCTCTTCTCTCCCTTTCTGGGATGAGATGATCGCTAATTATGAGCTAAGATAGAAATCACGTTACGGTTGTAAGACATGTGGTGGATCATGCAAGGCTGCTAGAGAGCCAATGACTAATTAAAACCCTAAACCCAATTTGTCTGATTACCAATCAAACTAATTTTCAATTGTAAATTGTTCCTGTCGATCCCACCGAATCAAAATGAAACACCGCTTATTTAATTAATTCGCATTAAAGAGTTCATATAAACCAAGATTTTTTATGCAAAGAAAACATTATCCTACCTAGTAGTACGCAATGCATAATCTAAGTGTGCCGAGTAATTAAGCAAATGTCACAGTCCTCTAGTCGTTAAAGAATAACCCAACTTTTGGACGAAATAACAACGCAAATATATTAATTGATGAAGAGGAAAAAGTGATAGAATTGATGGGTTTGCGACCTTTAACCCGAAACTTTCTATTTACAGTATTGCATGCAATACGAACAAAACTTGTTTACTTTTTAAGATAACACAAATATGATATGTAAATTGAAAATAAATTATGTGCATCTAGTAAATTTTATATTGAGGGGGCCAAAAAGAAAAGTAAAATAAGAATCACGACATGTATTGGAAATGGCAAGTAGATAAAGGGGAAAAAAAAATGAGTTAATTTACTTACGTTTAAAATAACTCAACCACCCACTGTGTGCACCTTAGCAGTAGATAAAGTAAACAAATTAATTAAAAGATCAATTGTTGAATAATCTGTTAGTTATGTATATTCATCATAAAATGATTACTTTTAATTGTTTTTCTAAAAGTTTCAAGATAAGTTGCTTTACAAGCAGCGGTGTTCAATAAATAATAAGAGTATCTAGAAAATGGGTTTTCAACTTCAATTTTACAATATTTCGAAAAATAATATTTAACCAAAAAAAGATAGGTTTCAGCAAAAAATTATCGATGGAGTTTATATATTTTATTTATTCCTAAATAACTGTCTATTTTATAACTTTGTAAAAAAACTTTTGTATATATACTCCCTATATCCCAACGCGTTATCTGCTCAAAGAAATATATATATATATATATATATATATATTTGCATTTGGCCTTGTACTAATTTGCTTTTTATGGTGTTTTTGGAAGACGCTCCTGCAATATAAAGACGTTGTCTGAATGAGCAGAAGTCGTTAGTGGCAATTTGTTTACAACTAGAATGACGCGGGAAGTCTTTATCCTAAAACTGAGAAAAGATATTGTATACTACATTTTCCATACCTTCGAAATTTAGGTCAATCATCATCTAATCTCTACACATAATAAACAAATAGTGGAAATAAGTAAAGCGCACTGACACAAAAACAAATGAAAATGGTTATAAGTTTTGGATTCTACGGGGCATGTTGTTTTTGATACTCCTTAGCATTTCGTTGGTTCTGGAAAACCACCACGGAAGGATTCATTCCATCTGTTATATGAAAACACTACTACTAATAAATTGCAAAAGTTTCATTGTTTGGACAAAATATAGATGGTGGCTTACTCGCTTATAGTCTAGTGGACCTTAACTTTCCTTTTTAAGCATACATAAAAGTTAGGTACTTAGGTTCGTGCCAACAGCTAGCACATCTGATCTAGCCATTCATTTTTTATTTTATTTTATTTTATTTTTTGGTTTTTTTTGCTATATATTTGCATGCCATCTCACAAACAGTGACTGATCTTAATTGATCTTAATTGAGATAGTAAACACTTGTTTTTTTCGATACAAACAAGGAGGCAAAATCTGAAAATTAAGATAATACTAAACGTTGATAAGAAACACTTTAATAGATAGAATAATTGATTAAAAGATTTAAGACTATTTTATATTATTGCGAGTTTCGAACTCCGGCTATATGCTATATAATTTTGAGATAATGAATTCTTGCACTCAATCATAACTCCTTCAATTGCATACTCTAGAATTTATAGTGGGGTTTATTTTTTATCTCCCAATAAAAATTCCAGCAAGTCATCAAGGAGTCACATAAGATAATTAGTAGTTCCATTTTAGCTATCTACTTTATAATTTAACCAAACGAGTGCAGTACACAATTTATTAAAATGAAAAGGATAGAGTATAAATTAAAATGATACATGCACGTACACTAATCTGATTAGACCGCACATTTACTTTTTTTTTTCCCTTTCATTAATTTTTTGTTGGCCTAAGTCAAACAACTTGTATATTTTGCTTCTTTTTTCTTTTTTTCCTCAATACTTACAAACAGTAATAGCTGTTCAGCATGGAGCATGGCATCAGTCTACACGTACGTACGCTCTTGGTTTTCAACATTGAGGGGAAAAAAAGAAGATATTAATTCATGAATCATATATGTTCTGATTCCAACTTCATTCGGCAGTTGTCCAGTCTCCAATTTTTTATTAATTCAATAATAATTGAATCCTAACGAACCTACGTTCAAAATAATAATAATAATAATAAAAATACTAACGAACGTACGGCTATTTGACCAACAGCACTGCAAAACCACAATTCTCCATTATGTGACGTATTCCTTCCTCCGCTCATTATTATAAAATATTTTAATGTACTCTAAGTTTCTTTTATTGTGGTTTTCAAATTAAAATAAAATTTTAAAAATTAAGAGAACATAATAAATATGAAAATATTTTTTTTCAAATTTTATTTTAAATTAAAAAATAAAATAAATGAAATTTAGGACAAAACGGAAAAAAAAATTCTTATTTTATTTCTTGCAAATATGTTTTAAAACAAAAACTTTCTCTCTCTATCTTTCTCTCTCGGCGCATGTTATTTAACGTGCACCCGCCATAGCCCGAAAGAAGGTAGAGAAGAAGAAAGCTGCTCCAAAACATGACAAAATTGACCAAATTGTAGCAGAATTGAAGGGACCTTGAAATTAAAGAGTAAGGCTGATGCAATTGAGAAAATTGATGCTACTCCCAGTTGCGGTCGTAACAGATCTGAGCTCCCGAGTCGCTAAGCAGTAGGTGTGAATCGGGGAAGAAGTGGGATGCTGAGGAACCTCTTGCCCGATATTTGGAGGTTAGAAAACAATTGACATGGTCTGCTAAAGTGGAATCGGCATATAGAACAAACCCTTAGTCTCGATTCGATATCTCCAATATGAGGAAATCAGGAGGAAAATGAATTTCTTCGCTCCTAAGGAAGTAGAAGGGCAGAAGATCGCGAAGGTGCAAGATGTAGATGTTCAAACGGAAGCTGATTATTGAGAATCCTCCATTGTCTGTTTTGTGCTGGGTGCCAATCCACCAAAGTGGGTGCTGGAGGACTACTTCAAGAAAACGCCGGGGCATCTAGGAATTGACAAGGTGTTATTCCGCCCTACTGGCCTATGTGTTGTTCGTTTTACTACGATTCAGGCTAGGGAAGACGTTCTTCGTACCAGCATCTATCATTTTGGTGTAAAGCCTCTACTTGTGAAGTCTTGGGATGTTGAGAAAGGTTTAAATTATAAAGAGGTTGAAAGGGTTCCTATTTGGCTCCAGTTGCATTGTTTAGAAATTAAGTTTTGAATCTAAATACCCCGAGCAGAATTACTAGTACAGTAGGTTATCCCATCATGGCAGATGAATGTACTGTTAGAAAGTCACGAGTTCAGTATACTAGGTTTCTAGTTGAGATGAAAATAGCTGAGAATGTGCCTGAAAAAATTATTTTTGAGGATGAAAAAGGGATTGTCAAAGTTCAGAAGTATACATATGAGTGGTTATCCACCAAGTGTGGTTGCTATAGTGGGTATGGACACAAATCAGAACAATGTAGGAGGGGAACTTCTAAAGCTGATCAAACTATTAAATCATTTAAGCACACTAATACTGAATAGAGAAGGGTGGGAAGAAGAGAACCACTGGAATTGCTCAAAATATACTCTCAGGTGGATAGCCCAGAAGAAGCATTAGAAGCTGGTAATGGTGAGAAGAAGATCCTCCAAGGCATAGAAATAGTAGGAAAGGTGGATGGTGTTGTGAGAAACGCACTATTAAAAGACTTAAAAGCTGCCCAGGGAATCCAAGTAGAAGAAATACCAGTAGTTGGCAAAGAAGATAGTTCTATTATCAGGGGAATTGAAGTAACGGCAACTAATGTAAACTGTTCTGTGGTTGATATTACTGAGGCCAACATGGAGGGTAGTAGTAAACTAAGTAACCAAGAAGTGGGGAGGGGAGTGGTTCAACATGACCCTGGTATCCATAGCATCTTATCATGGAATATCAGGGGTATAAACTCCCCCCTTAAACAAAGGGAGTTATTTGGAATAATACAGACAAGAAAGATTAACTTAAGTTGCATTGTGAAAACTAAACTCACTCAAGATAGGTGTGCGGAGTTAATGAATAGAAGTTGACCTGGATGGAAGTGGTTATCCAGCTTGTCTTCAAGTCAAAGAGGCAGAATTTTAATACTGTGGGATGATAGTGTGGAGGTGCAGGAGTTAAAGAAGACTGATAAGATGCTTCATTGTCTGGTTAGACTTAAACAAGATAGAACTCACTACTTATTCACTGGCATCTATGCTAGTAATTCCTTAGAAGAAAGAGGGGCTTTATGGGATGACCTAAAAACTGTTTCTCAGACTGTTGCAGGGCCATGGATTCTATTGGGGGATTTTAATAATGTGTTAAAAGAAGAAGAGAAAGTGGGAGGCATACCAGTAACAATAGCTGAGATAGAGGCATTCCAAGCATGTGTTGATGAATGTGGAATTTTTGATATGAAGCAACAAGGTAAGATGTTCACTTGGAGTAATAACCAGATTGGAAATGAAAGGATTTATTTCAATTTGGATCGGGCTATAGTGAATGGACAATGGGTGGATACGTACCTTTATTCTTTAGCAACCATACTGAAGGTTTTTCGGACCATTCTCCTATACTGGTCAAGATCAGTAAAGTAGTGGTATCAAAACCTAAACCATTTAGGTTCTTCAATATGTGGAGCCAATATCCTCAATTTTTGGAGACAATTAAATAGAGTTGGGAAGTACCAGTAAGGGGGACCTGTATGTACCAACTGTGTGCGAAGTTAAAAAGTTTGAAAGTATAATTGAAAAAACTCAATAGTGACCATTTTGCTAATATAGTCCAGAAAGTAGAAGAGATAAACAGATGCTTCAAGAGTTATAGGAGCAACTGGTATTGCAGTCTGAAAATGAAGCTATGCAACTGCAAGAAAGAATTGTATATGAGGAATCCCTTCAATCTGCCAAAGCAGCTCTGAGTTTCCTTAAACAGAAAGCTAAAGAAGATTGGTTGGTTGCAGGGGATGAAAACACAGCTTTCTTTCATTCAAAATTGAAGGCAAGGAATCTCAAAAATAGGATTTGGTCTATTGTTAATGAAGAAGGAGAGCTAGTAAGTGATTGGGCAAGGGTTAAAGAACATTTCATTGAGTATTATGAGAAGCAATTGGGCCAGGAAACTAAAAGAGAGAAAGCAAATCCAAATGTATTCAGTTATGGAGCCAAACTGACTATTGAGCAGCAATTGAAGCTAATTAAGCCAGTGGATAAAAAAGAAGCCAAGGCAACACTTTGGGAGATGAATGCTAATAAAAGCCGGGGACCGGATGGATATGGTGTTGGTTTCTTCAAATCGGCTTGGAGCATAGTGGAAGGGGATGTAACTAGTGCTGTCTTGGATTTCTTTGACACAGGTCAGGTACATTCCCAATTAAATTCCACTGTTTTGACTTTAATTCCTAAAGTATCTGTACCCTTGAATGCATCACACTTTAGACCTATAGCATGTTGCAATATTATGAATAAGTGTATTTCCAAATTTTTGTGTAATAGATTAAAACATGTACTGTCTAGTCTAGTTGATGAGAATCAAAGTGCTTTTATGCATAATAGACTCATTTTGCACAATATTTTGATCACTCAGGAACTGATTAGGCAATATAGGAGAAAGGGGATTTCGGGTAGAGTGATGATGAAAATCGATATTCAGAAGGCATATGATTCAGTTGAGTGGGGGGAGGGGGGGGTTAGATGAAATATTGATAGGTTACAGGTTTCCTAAGACTTTTTTGGCAGTGGCTTATGTGATGTATTACCACTCCATCTTATACTTTATCCCTAAATGGTAGCTGCAGGAGGTTTTTTTTTTGTGAGAAACGAGGTCTGAGACAGGGTGATCCTATCTCTCCTCTACTCTTTGTATTAGTAATGGAGTACTTAACTAGGAACTTTAAGATGATATTTCAATAGTCTTGGTTTAATTTTCATCCGAAATGTGCTGCACTAAAGTTGACGAATCTCTGTTTTGATGATGACCTAATGGTCTTTTTTAAGGATGATATAAACACTATAGAAGGTATTCAGGGAGTCTTTAGAGATTTCTCTTAGGTTACAAGTCTAAAAGCAAATGCTTATAAATCAGAAGTGTTCCTTGGGGGAGTTAATAGTAAGTTACAAGGCACTATCTGTGAGATCACAGGTTTTCGGGTAGGGATGTTCCCGATAAAATACTTGGGGGTCTCCCTGACACCCAGGAAGCGGTCCCAACTAGAATGCCAGGAAGTAGTAAATAGAGTGGTGGCACGTATAAAGTGCTGGAGTACACGAAATCTGTCATATACAGGGAGGGTGCAACTGATTAATTCATTACTGATGGCGATGCATGGGTACTGGGGATCAATCTTCATTCTTCCACAGAGTGTCACTAATGACATAAACAGAGTTTGCAGATGTTTCTTGTGGGGTATCAAACCAAATGGGAGATCTATAGCTTTGGTGTATTTGGAAGAGGTATGCAGGAGAAAGTCAGATGGAGGACTTGGAATTCAGGATGCAAAAGTCTAGAACAAAGCCTCAATTTTGAAGCAGGTTTGGTGTGGCCATGAAGAATGATAACTTATGGATCAAGAGCTCAATCATGTGGGAAGTGCAGCCAAAACTTGATAGCAGCTGACAATGGAAACATTTGTTAAAGATCCAGGATCAGGCAAAGGAAGGCTTTGAGAGGAACAGTTGGAAAGCTCATGCAAATGGTAAGTACATAGTGGCCTCAGGTTATGATTGGATGATTGCTGGAAGGAACAAAATGCCTGGAGCTGTGCGTATTTGGTCTCATCAGAATGTTCCCAATCATGCTGTGATTTCTTGGTTGGTATGGAAACAAAGAGTTCTGACTAAAGATAGACTTATATACTTGATTATTCCAGTAACTGATAAAAGTTGTATTCTATGTCAAGTGGTAGATGAGTCTATAAGTCATTTATTTTTTGATTGTGCTTTTGCTTGCCAACTGTTATCTGAACTACAGAGTTGGATGGGAAATAGAAGACTGTCTTGCAGATTTGGAAGATGACAGACTCAGATGCTTCATATGTGGAAAGGGACTAAGCTCAAGAGGAGAATCTTCCTGGCTGTGATAGCAGCAGGTGTGTATCATATATGGAAAGAAAGAAACAGAAGACTGTTTGCTGGGAATTCTAGAATAGTGCATTGTTTGGTGAGGCTGATTAACAATGAAGTTAGATCCAGGAATATGGGAGGAAAAAGGACAGAGTGGACTATGTCTGAAAAAGTGGTATTGCAGTAATTTTGGTAGTTGATATATTTCTGAGTTTGGATAGTTTGTTAATGTACATATCCTTTGTAAAGAGTAGTGAAGTAGTAAGTAGGAATTCTTGTAAAGAAGTGACTTTGTTGGGTGCTTTGCTTGATCTATAAAATGTTTACATTTCACCAAAAAAAAAAAGGAAAAATCAAAATAATTTTTAAGAAGAGCCAAAGGAATGTCTAACAACACGTTACACTTAAAATGATTCCGAGATAAAATTTGGACTACTAGGAGAGGCCCGATATTAGGCGGTATTTAGGTTATTTCACTGTGTGATTTTAACCCTATTTAGAAGCTATCCGTATTCCGAATCGTTGGTCTTAGGATGAGAGATCGTGCTAAATCAGCCATTTGCCCTTAGTGCGCAGCAGTCGGCACAACAAAGCTTAGCGTTTTTCCTAAACGAAAAACCCAAGAAAAGCCTTATTTTTGGACTTTATTTCCTATTTTCTTAGAGGTTTTATTTGCTGGAAATATATTGCTTTTACTCCGAGCGAGACCATCTTGTGTAGATCCGGGTTCATCATGGACCCTTCTTATTTTTTGTACTTGGGGTCTTATTACTATTTTTTTTTTCATTTTTCTAAACGTCTTCTTATATTTTGCATTTTTAGTCACTTTTTTTTCTCTCTTCTTAAAAAATATCGCTAATCTTTAAACGAACATATATTTTAATCCGTGGAGAATTAGAAAATGTGTTATGCACGAAATTTATGGTACTCGATGAGATCAATCCAACAAGATCCATATTGAATATTTTTTTGAAGATAAAAATAATTAAATTTTTGGGCAGAAATAAAGAACTTGTATTTTCATTTGGACGATATCCAGTTTAAAATGGACAGCTATGATACTTATTTTATATTGATATTGATTATTTATCTCTTAGCACAAAATAGAGAGATTAAGAGATATAAATAACACCATATCAATCTAAAATAAGCACCATATTCATCCATTTTATTCTCATATCCATCCAAAGAAACATACATATTCTTTGTTTCTGTCCGCAAAATTTTAATCATTTTTAAGTTCGCAAAATATATTTAATATGGATCTTGTTGGATAGATCTCGTCGAATAATTCAACTTTCATGTGTAATACATTTTCTAATTCTTTATGGATTAACACATTTTGAAGATTAGAGATATTTTTGAACGAGAGAGAAGATAGTGACAGAGGCTAAAAGTGGAAAAAAATAAAAAGTTAATTGAAAGAGAGAAAGAATGTGTGGTAAGAACCATATATGCAAAAAATAGAGGGGGTCTACGGTGAACACGCATCCAACAACGAATTTTTCCCTCCGAGCCAGCAACTTCTTCTGTAAGATAATATTAAATAATCTACACAAGGCAAAAAAGTAGTGATTTATCACAATTCTTTCAAAAATTTTGAATTTTTCATGTATCAAGTATCTATAGTATTATACTAAGAGAGAAATCAGAGAGAGAAGTCTAAAAAGATTTCTACGTCGCCGCATAAGATAAAATTCTACGTGACAATTTCTTAAAATTTAAAG